AGACATTACAGTGCTAGCCGTTACTAAGACATTACAGTGCTAGCCGTGACTAGGACATTACAGTGCTAGCCGTGACTAAGACATTACAGTGCTAGCCGTTACTAAGACATTACAGTGCTAGCCGTGACTAAGACATTACAGTGCTAGCCGTGACTAAGACATTACAGTGCTAGCCGTGACTAGGACATTACAGTGCTAGCCGTGACTAAGACATTACAGTGCTAGCCGTTACTAAGACATTACAGTGCTAGCCGTGACTAAGACATTACAGTGCTAGCCGTGACTAAGACATTACAGTGCTAGCCGTGACTAGGACATTACAGTGCTAGCCGTGACTAAGACATTACAGTGCTAGCCGTTACTAAGACATTACAGTGCTAGCCGTGACTAAGACATTACAGTGCTAGCCGTGACTAAGACATTACAGTGCTAGCCGTTACTAAGACATTACAGTGCTAGCCGTTACTAAGACATTACAGTGCTAGCCGTGACTAAGACATTACAGTGCTAGCCGTGACTAAGACATTACAGTGCTAGCCGTGACTAGGACATTACAGTGATAGCCGTGAGTAAGACATTACAGTGCTAGCCGTGACTAAGACATTACAGTGCTAGCCGTGACTAAGACATTACAGTGCTAGCCGTGACTAAGACATTACAGTGCTAGCCGTGACTAGGACATTACAGTGCTAGCCGTGACCAAGACATTACAGTGCTAGCCGTGACTAAGACAATACAGTGATAGCCGTGACTAAGACATTACAGTGCTAGCCGTGAGTAAGACATTACAGTGCTAGCCGTGACTAAGACATTACAGTGATAGCCGTGACTAAGACATTACAGTGATAGCCGTGACTAAGACATTACAGTGATAGCCGTGACTAAGACATTACAGTGCTAGCCGTGACTAAGACATTACAGTGCTAGCCGTGACTAAGACATTACAGTGATAGCCGTGACTAAGACATTACAGTGATAGCCGTGACTAAGACATTACAGTGCTAGCCGTGACTAAGACATTACAGTGATAGCCGTGACTAAGACATTACAGTGCTAGCCGTGACTAAGACATTACAGTGATAGCCGTGACTAAGACATTACAGTGATAGCCGTGACTAAGACATTACAGTGCTAGCCGTGACTAAGACATTACAGTGCTAGCCGTGACTAAGACATTACAGTGCTAGCCGTGACTAGGACATTACAGTGATAGCCGTGACTAGGACATTAAAGTGCTAGCCGTGACTAAGACATTACAGTGCTAGCCGTGACTAAGACATTACAGTGATAGCCGTGACTAAGACATTACAGTGATAGCCGTGACTAGGACATTACAGTGCTAGCCGTGACTAGGACATTACAGTGCTAGCCGTGACTAGGACATTACAGTGCTAGCCGTAACTAGGACATTACAGTGCTAGCCGTGACTAAGACATTACAGTGCTAGCCGTGACTAGGACATTACAGTGCTAGCCGTGACTAGGAGATTACAGTGCTAGCCGTGACTAGGACATTACAGTGCTAGCCGTAACTAGGACATTACAGTGCTAGCCGTGACTAAGACATTACAGTGCTAGCCGTGACTAGGACATTACAGTGATAGCCGTGAGTAAGACATTACAGTGCTAGCCGTGACTAAGACATTACAGTGCTAGCCGTGACTAAGACATTACAGTGCTAGCCGTGACTAAGACATTACAGTGCTAGCCGTGACTAGGACATTACAGTGCTAGCCGTGACTAAGACATTACAGTGCTAGCCGTGACTAAGACAATACAGTGATAGCCGTGACTAAGACATTACAGTGCTAGCCGTGAGTAAGACATTACAGTGCTAGCCGTGACTAAGACATTACAGTGATAGCCGTGACTAAGACATTACAGTGCTAGCCGTGACTAGGACATTACAGTGATAGCCGTGACTAGGACATTAAAGTGCTAGCCGTGACTAAGACATTACAGTGCTAGCCGTGACTAGGACATTACAGCGATAGCCGTGACTGAGACATTACAGTGCTAGCCGTGACTAAGACATTACAGTGCTAGCCGTGACTAAGACATTACAGTGCTAGCCGTGACTAAGACATTACAGTGCTAGCCGTGACTAAGACATTACAGCGATAGCCGTGACTAAGACATTACAGTGCTAGCCGTGACTAAGACATTACAGTGCTAGCCGTGACTAAGACATTACAGTGCTAGCCGTGACTGAGACATTACAGTGCTAGCCGTGACTAAGACATTACAGTGATAGCCGTGACTAAGACATTACAGTGCTAGCCGTGACTAGGACATTACAGTGCTAGCCGTGACTAAGAGATTACAGTGCTAGCCGTGACTAAGACATTACTGTGCTAGCCGTGACTAAGACATTACAGTGATAGCCGTGACTAAGACATTACAGTGATAGCCGTGACTAGGACATTACAGCGATAGCCGTGACTGAGACATTACAGTGCTAGCCGTGACTAAGACATTACAGTGCTAGCCGTGACTAAGACATTACAGTGCTAGCCGTGACTAAGACATTACAGTGCTAGCCGTGACTAAGACATTACAGCGATAGCCGTGACTAAGACATTACAGTGCTAGCCGTGACTAAGACATTACAGTGCTAGCCGTGACTAAGACATTACAGTGCTAGCCGTGACTGAGACATTACAGTGCTAGCCGTGACTAAGACATTACAGTGATAGCCGTGACTAAGACATTACAGTGCTAGCCGTGACTAGGACATTACAGCGATAGCCGTGACTGAGACATTACAGTGCTAGCCGTGACTAAGAGATTACAGTGCTAGCCGTGACTAAGACATTACTGTGCTAGCCGTGACTAAGACATTACAGTGATAGCCGTGACTAAGACATTACAGTGCTAGCCGTGACTAGGACATTACAGCGATAGCCGTGACTGAGACATTACAGTGCTAGCCGTGACTAAGACATTACAGTGCTAGCCGTGACTAAGACATTACAGTGCTAGCCGTGACTAAGACATTACAGCGATAGCCGTGACTAAGACATTACAGTGCTAGCCGTGACTAAGACATTACAGTGCTAGCCGTGACTAAGACATTACGGTGCTAGCCGTGACTAGGACATTACAGTGCTAGCCGTGACTAGGACATTACAGTGCTAGCCGTGACTAAGACATTACAGTGCTAGCCGTGACTAGGACATTACAGTGCTAGCCGTGACTAGGACATTACAGTGCTAGCCGTGACTAAGACATTACAGTGCTAGCCGTGACTAGGACATTACAGTGCTAGCCGTGACTAGGACATTACAGTGCTAGCCGTGACTAAGACATTACAGCGATAGCCGTGACTAGGACATTACAGTGCTAGCCGTGACTAAGACATTACAGTGCTAGCCGTGACTAAGACATTACAGTGCTAGCCGTGACTAGGACATTACAGTGCTAGCCGTGACTAAGACATTACAGTGCTAGCCGTGACTAAGACATTACAGTGCTAGCCGTGACTAGGACATTACAGTGCTAGCCGTGACTAAGACATTACAGTGCTAGCCGTTACTAAGACATTACAGTGCTAGCCGTGACTAAGACATTACAGTGCTAGCCGTGACTAAGACATTACAGTGCTAGCCGTGACTAGGACATTACAGTGATAGCCGTGAGTAAGACATTACAGTGCTAGCCGTGACTAAGACATTACAGTGCTAGCCGTGACTAAGACATTACAGTGCTAGCCGTGACTAAGACATTACAGTGCTAGCCGTGACTAGGACATTACAGTGCTAGCCGTGACCAAGACATTACAGTGCTAGCCGTGACTAAGACAATACAGTGATAGCCGTGACTAAGACATTACAGTGCTAGCCGTGAGTAAGACATTACAGTGCTAGCCGTGACTAAGACATTACAGTGCTAGCCGTGACTAAGACATTACAGTGATAGCCGTGACTAAGACATTACAGTGCTAGCCGTGACTAAGACATTACAGTGCTAGCCGTGACTAGGACATTACAGTGATAGCCGTGACTAGGACATTAAAGTGCTAGCCGTGACTAAGACATTACAGTGCTAGCCGTGACTAAGACATAACAGTGCTAGCCGTGACTAAGACATTACAGTGATAGCCGTGACTAAGACATTACAGTGCTAGCCGTGACTAGGAGATTACAGTGCTAGCCGTAACTAGGACATTACAGTGCTAGCCGTGACTAAGATATTACAGTGCTAGCCGTGACTAAGACATTACAGTGCTAGCCGTGACTAAGACATTACAGTGCTAGCCGTGACAAGGACATTACAGTGATAGCCGTGACTAGGACATTACAGTGATAGCCGTGACTAAGACATTACAGTGCTAGCCATGACTAAGACATTACAATGTACAGCACACTTTGAATTATGCTTTGCCAATTTCGAATTACCAGCACAAATCCCAAACATTTTCAATGTGTTTGGATTCTGTCGGACTTCTAAATAACTGAAAATGCCCAGTTCGAGGTTCGAATTATCAGGCATTGTTACGAGGAATGGTATTGATAGAAATCGGTCCTAGAAGGAACTTCTAATTAAGGGGTATGTTCAAATGCAGCCATGCTCGAATTTCAGGATTCCACCTGTATTTAAGGAGACGGCGCGGGTAGCTAGAACGCTAAATATATCATGTGGGCTTGGCACTGGAGCTGCCCTCTGCAATCACTCTTGATACAGGGTCGATTAATGTATGCCGCTGGTATACAACATGGTCAGCTGACCATTCCTCCACTGTATTTGCAATCAGCAGGACAAGCGGTTAGTAATGGTATTGCAAGTTGCATAGACCACACACTGTTTGTACGTCAAAGTCCGGGGGTCAAAAAAGCAAATCATTTCTGGATCAATAGTCATCTCATGCTGTGTCCTTAGATGTTACGACTCTCAGGTATTCAGCAGACATGTAGAGAGATGCTGGTACATGTAGAGAGATGCTAGTACAGGAATAGAGCTAGTACATGTAGCATTACATGTCATTCTGGGGCTGACAGATACCTTGATTCCGGACAAGCGTGCAAGCTCAACCTGCCCAAATTGCACGCAGATACACCCACATACGCAATGGCAATCACCCACACAGATACACCCACATACACAGAAGATAAGCGTCAGAAACGTACCCAGTGGCAGTCGCAAGGGAAAGAGCAAGGATGACGGGACAGTGAGTGCAAAGATGTGACAGCTACAGGGTCACTGCTTGCTTGTGGGGAAAACCCCCGGGTGCTCAAGACAAAACTATGTCATGGGCGTAGGAACCGGTCCGGCAGGCGTGGCGGTCGCCGGACCAATAATTTTCGATTTAAAAAAAAAACATTTTAACCTTGTTGGTGGCTTGTCGACTCTTGTACAGGTACCATATTTTACACCGACAATGCGGTGTATCATCAGCATGCATATTCTTATTTCTCATATCATTCTGTAGCATTAAAATATGGCCTTTTAGGCCCAATTTTCAAAAAAAATCACGGGGGAGGACCCCCGGACCCCCTCTCACAATCTCGCCGCACCAATATTAAACTTCTTCCTACGCCCCTGTATGTCCTTGCGTGTAGCGTAGTAGTGACATGAATGATGGGTTCAACAAGTTCATCTTAAGTGTACATTCTGCCTAGTGTACTGTGGGGCTAGTGAGAGAAGGGACTTTGAAAGGCAGGCAAGTCAACATAGGTAACCAAAGAAACCACTCGTCGCGCTACAGTGTGAGGTGCCCTTTCACGTTTTACACACCCCGTACCAGTAACGGTGCATGGGGTCAGTGTCCATCATGCATGAGGGTGATGGAGTTTACAGAGAACTTGACGGAACATATGTGCACGCCAGAACATATATCCATAAATCAAGAACATGTAGAAATACTCACTTCATTCTTCTCCTGGATTTCTCTTCTACGGTTGTCAGCACCAAGCGAGTTGATAAAAGCAATTTCTTCCACCTACAGAAACATACACATTAGAGCAGAGAGTAAATGAAATAAGGTACAATAATAGGATACCATACATAAGCATAGATGCAGGGAATGCAGGGAAGAGAAGTAGTATTTATACCTTCACATAACTCTACGCAAATTATTACATCCCAGACTGAGACAAAGTTTTGATCATATTCGACGGAATGTTCCAGAAAACTACAAAACAAGGAAGTTCATTCTCAAGGACGAGAACAACAGACAATATCAAAAGGGCAAGGTCGCACAGGTGGGCTTGTGTGCGTACCAGAAATTACGACCTTTGCAGAATTCTAGTGATGTCTTAGTGATGTCAGCAAACTTTGTTAGAAGACATGAACGAATATAGATATCCCGACCAACACACATACATATAGAGGTAGGTAAGTGCATATTGCACTGTTTGGGTTCCAAAGCAAAAAATGAATTGAGTCGGAAAATTCCTGCACCAATATAGTACGACATACATGAGTATACCCAATAGGCTTAACTTTGGAATAATTACATTTTTGCTGAATCAGAGCAACAGCAACAACCGCCGCCGCCACAACAACAACAACAACAACAACAACAACAACAACAACAACAACAACAACAACAACAACAACAACAACAACAACAACAACAACAACAACAACAACAACAACAACAACAACAACAACAACAACAACAACAACAACAACAACAACGGCAACAACAACGGCAACAGCAGTAGCAGAAGCAGCAACAGCAACAGGAACAGCAATGGTAGCAACGGCAACAGCAGAAACAACAACAGCACCAGCAGCAGCAGCAGCAACAGCAACAGCAACGGTAACAGAAACAGCAGAATCAACAACAGCAGCAGCAACAACAGCAGCAGCAACAACAGCAGCAACGAACGCAACCACAACAGCAATAGCAGCAATCGAAATTATTGCCTACAATAATGACAACAGCAGTGGTGCTGAAGGTAGGCCTGAAAATGCAGCGAACATACAAACCTTTCTTTCCTCATCCTGAGCTTTCTTCGAGGTGTTCTTCAAATGTTCCTGGCGGCGCTCTTCAGCCCGTTTCTGCTTCTCTTGCAGCTCATGTCTCTTGACCAGATCAGACTTGATCGTCATTCCAGACTGGCCGCCACGCGATACGGATATCTGCTGTCCCGTACTCTGAGAACCGAGTAATTGTATCATAGGAGAGAGTCGTAATCACACATGCAGGAGAAGGAAGAAGAGAGAAACAACAATGGTTTTAAAGATATACATACTACAATGATACATTACTGGCCAAAGAAATCCAACCCCATGAATAAAATAGTGTCAGGCACTGTGTGACTGTGCAGCCTGTGCAATCGAACGCGATGTTGCTTTATTCATGCGGTTGGATTTCTCAGACAAGAACTGTGGTAGCTGCATAGGTTAGAACACTGTTTACAGCCATAGATAGGACTGTATATAGCTATAGGACTGTATATAGCTATAGGACTGTATATAGCTATAGGACTGTATATAGCTATAGGACTGTATATAGCTATAGGACTGTATATAGCTATAGGACTGTATATAGCTATAGGACTGTATATAGCTTTATACCTCATTCCATATTCACCCACATAAAATTGGCCATCTACGTAAGTGGTGAATATTGCTGAATATTCACCGCTTATATTCACCACTTATATTCACCACTTTTCGATACTTACTGTAAAGAGAGCAGTACTCGGTGCTGCGCTTGATTCCTCTTCAGTCAGCGCACCGGAGCTGCCGAGTGCCCTAGAAAATTTCTACGCTAACTTACGTAAACAGGACTTTTCTGAGTACAAACGAAATTCCTTACTTGCCATTGCCGCTGGATCCGCATGTGACCAGGTGCTGACAAGTCATCAAACAACAGCGAGCATCTTCACAGACGGAGCGTTCCAGCGAGCAAACAAGGTTTTAGACGCTCAACATGTCAATGGCCCGATGATTGCGGATCAAGCGGCAAGCCAGGAATTTCGTTTGTACTCAGAACAGCCCTGTTCATGGACGTTAGCGTAGAATTTTCCTAGGGCACACAACAGCTCCCAAGCGCTGCCTGAAAAGAAAAGAAGTGAGGGTAGAACCGCTTGGCTCGCTGTTTATAAACCGACTCCCGAATTGGCGCGATGATCGCAGATTGGTCAAATCTTCGCGTGAAACGAAACCTCTCTAATGATTGGCTCCCGCCACAAAGCTGCACGAGCGTGTTCTCCATGGTGATTGGCACGAGCGTGTTCTCCAAGGTTGTCACCTCCCATGCCACATGCACCAGTACGTGTACACGATCGATTGAACAAGATTCTGAACACGCCGCGCTCCGATTCATGCAAGAACACGCCAGTCGGTTTACGATACTGAAGCAACAACGACTTACATTAGTTCTGCGTACATGTACATGTATGACCAACAGGACTCGTTTGTTGGGTTTTAGGGACGAGAGGGTGAATCTGGAGAGGTGTAAGTCTAATATTACCTTCAGCCTCGTGAATATGAGGGAATATGTATATGTTATCGCATGGTTGCGAGGGCCTTATGGCATACTATTACCCCGAGAGGTTAGCCCTCGGGCCTACGGCCCTCGGGCTAACCTCTCGGGGCAATAATATGCCATAAGGCCTGCAGCAACCATACGATAACAAATTTATCACATGGCCCACAGAGCAGACCATTGGGCTGCTGTTTAAACTAGCCGAAATGGCAACACATTATTATGACCACAATGTATATTGGTGTGCTATCATTATCAAAACAGGAAAAATGAAGATATTTCTCCTACACCCTAACAAAAAGTCTGCTACAGGCCATCAGAGAGTATACAGTACTGAAAGACGGAGACAGAAAAAAAGTGCCGGCACCGCATCGTCATAGCAATAGACATGGCAACCACAATAAAATACAGCAGAATCATAATTTCAGTTGAAAAATTAAGAGCGCTACCACAAAGAGTTTCTTCATGTTTACATGTGTATCAGGAAGTTGTCAAATACAGTACTGCAACAAGTGCAAGTATTTGACGACTCCCTGGTGTGTAATTCTGAGGACAATTTTTCTTCTTTTTTTCAGCTCCACATAGCTGTATTTTTCATTGCAAAACATCATGTCCTGAATTGTTGTGTTTGTTGTTCAAGCAAAGGGGAAGGCAGAGGACAGATGAGCCTGGTAAGAGTTTTGCGTGGCACACGAAGACCACACACAGGCAGTGACTTTGCGAGGATCTGAAAACGCACGACGCTGAGTTGAATTTGTGTTATTTCAAATAATTGTTTGTGATCACAGTACCACATCGAGCAGAACTGAATCTTATCCACAAGCTTACCGACGGTCAGGCAGCCAACATGACTGAACAAATGATCCCTACAAGCACCACACGGCAGACGTCCGAGGCCATGTCCATTGCCGGGATGTCCATCTCCAAAAAGAATTCCATCTTCGTCTCAACACTGCGACTCGTCGTAGAGTCGTACAGTCGACAGAGCTCAGCGTCGTCGTAGTCACGCGATCACTGAAATAAACTATTTTTTTGCGGGCAAAATAAACTATTTTTTGCGGGCAATATCGCATATTATTGCCCGCGGCGCGAAAGGTGCTGATTCGCTGGAGTACGGGCAACAATCACGTGCCATGTGATAAGTATATATTATAACAAGGGACCGAGTGTATATGGAGAAATATAGACCAGTATAAAAACCGAGGCGAAGCCGAGGTTTCTATAACTGGTCGATATTTCTCGATATACAGGGCATGCGCTAAGGATTAAGATGTGCTCTGACACAATGTCCTGCCAGTTGCAAAAATGGCCGGACATGCAAATTTTCACATCAAATCCCACAGTGTTCAGTGTAGAATTAATACCATCGACATGTTATCATGACATGAAAAGAGTCCGACCTTGGCTGCTGCTGCGACCCACGCTTTCTCTTGCCAGACGACATCACTAATGACTATGAGACAAAAGCCTTTTCTTTTTTGTACTTTGCAAAAAGGTGCGCAGACACTTTGTCCGGATGTGTACAAAACATCCGGAAACTGACCGTAAACGGTCGGAAATTGTCCGATGTCCGACCGTTATTTCGCGCCCTGATATACACGAGGTCCCTTGTTATAATATATTTATACCTCTCCATGCGCAAGCTCAAGAGCAAAAAGGAGTGAATATAGCTTTCTTTCCCTAAAAAGGAGTGAATATAGCTTTAGAGAAAGAAAGCTATATACACTCCTTTTTAGAGAAAGAAAGCTCCTCAGTGGGGTTTTTTCTGATGGTTTTCCTCAGTGGTGTATATACCTCCTTAGTGGTGTATATTGAACAGTGTATATGGAAATTTATAAACTTCATGGGAGATCTGGTATATGAGTGTGGGTGTATATGGAGTGAGGTATATTCACTAGTATACAAACCTCAGCTTCGCCTCGGTTTGTATACTAGTGAATATTCGCCCATATTCACTCGGCTTCAGGTAATATTATATACATAGGACTGTATATATCTATGGGACTGTATATATGTAGGACTCAGTGAGCAGTCACGTCTCGATGACCGATCACGATCCCCGTGACCAATCAAACAGTCACAAATCCCCGAAGAGCAGTCATAAAGTCACACACCAGTTTGAATCCCGATGACCAGTCACAAACTGCCGCGACTTTCTCTGTGAACGGTCACAGGATCCACGTCAAAATATTACGACTCAACTGTAGGCATTCACGCGTTCAGCATACTTTTTTCCTTCACAGGTTTCAGAAGTGAGCAAGAAAGATTTCGATCAACTCTCGATCTCCGCGTAGTTTACTTGTAGCTCGAGTCTGGTGTGTGTGGGCTCCTCTCCAAAACGAAGGGTGGTCGAAAATCTTGCAGGCTTCAGATAGAATCTCTTTTGAGAGGACGTTCTGGCTAGTAGGTTGTGCTATTCATCATATTTGAAGAACAAACTTCGTCGTTCAGAAAAGCTATTTCGGAATATTTTCAGTCATGTAATTTTTGCATGCCGATCTTGCTAGAGCAGAGACTGACTTCAACTGATCCAGCATGCAAGCAGCACTCGATTCGTGTTTTTGGAGAGGATGGGTGACAAGATTACGGAGTCAGCAGTGGACATCGTCGACGATGCAGAGACGAAATATAATGAAGATGGAAATGAAAATTATGTTCATTTCCAAGAAGGTACTGAGTACATCAAGCACCTTCGTGTGTGTAGCTCTGTCTTTCTTGTGGAAGACTCCACAGAAAAACAATGTCCAGCTTGTTGAAACTGAAACTGCCTTTCAGTTGAAGTCGTTCAGGAAAACATCTATTCAAGACATCGTTGATCCATTCTCAAGGACCATCGTAAGAAATTAAATCAAGTCATGTTTATCGATAAGAATGGCGAACTAGACCAGAGAAGTGTGAGTGTCTTGTTTTGACTGCAGGAAACTGTATTTCAATATTGTGGCTCAATGTAGTGCTTACGCAGTTTACTGCTTCGAACACATCTTCATTTCTACTCCCAAAATAACTCTGTAAAATTTATTGATGCAACATTATGCATCATGGTCTTTCTCGTTGTGCTGCTATAACGTGTATAAGTACATGCATACGAGTACTGTGTACCGTTTACTGTCTCCTTGTCAGTGTTTTTGGGCGATCCTCCACACCTTCATTTGTCTTCCAATTATTAATTTTATAGAAAATTCACTCACTTCAACTTCTTTTGATTGCTGGTGCGAATGTAGCCTGCGATGCCTGCTTGTTAGTGAGAGTGCACCAGACATGTATCGATATGTATGTCTGACGAGATGTTCTTGAACTGGCATGCTGCTTTGCTTAGATAAGGTTTAGAATTGGGTGCTCAATGGCCTGGAGGAATTAATCATGTTTGCGATCAGTATCACCAAGAGTACGGTTCTTCCGTCTACGCATCTCTTCTTGGCTTGTGGATTGGTTGAAAAGAGATAAAATAATAATACAGAAGTACTTGTGTCCAAGTGTCGTCGTGAAAACAAGTTCTACCTCCGTAACTTTGTCCGCAAGGTCACGTGAATCTAGCTGGTAGTCCCGCTGCCTATTTGTGTGTGTGTGTGTGTGTGAGTAAGTGTGCGCACGCATGTGTGAGTGTGTGTGTATGTGTGTGTGTGCATGCGTGAGAAAGAGAGAGTGTGTGTGTGTGTGTGAGTGTGTGTGTGTGTGAGAGAGAGAGAGAGGGAGAGAGAGAGAGAGAAAATGTGTGTGTGTGTGAGATTTAGAGAATGTGTGTGTGTTTGTGTGTGCGTGCGTGGATGTGTGTGTGTGTGTGGATGTGTGTGTGTGTGTGTGTGTGTGTGTGTGTGTGTGTGTGTGTGTGTGTGTGTGTGTGGATGTGTGTGTGTGTCTCAAACTCTCTCTTCTACTCCCCCCTGTCTCGGGGGCGGCGTGGCCAAGCATTTGGCAGCTGTACACCAGGCCATGTGTGTGTGTGTGTGTGTGTGTGTGTGTGTGTGTGGATGTGTGTGTGTGTCTCAAACTCTCTCTCTCTTCTACTCTCCCCCTGTCTCGGGGGCGGCGTGGCTAAGCATTTGGCAGCTGTACACCAGGCCAGGTGTGTGTGTGTGTGTGTGTGTGATGTAGAGAATGAATGACATATGTGCGTGTGTGTGAGAGAGAGAGATTTAGAGAATGAGTGTGTGTGTGTGTGTGTGTGTGTGTGTGTGTGCGCGTGTGCGCGTGTGAGTGCATGTGAGAAAAGGGAGAGAGTGTGGGTGTATGTGTGTGTAATGGTGTGGGCATGTGTGGTCCCCAGCTCTATTCTATGTCATTCACGCTGGAACTGCTGCTGCATAGCCCCAAGTCTGAAGACTTGGCAACTTCACGCCTGCACCTGACTCTTGCACTATGATACCCGTCGCCTATGATACCCCTCAGAATTTCCCACCTTGCTCCCTCTTATGTTCAGGCTGCCCGTTTAGGAGCCATCAGTTACCTGACGATCGTAGTAATACGTGAAACTCAGAGTTGTGACAAAGCCTCCAATCTCTCATGTAATACAGAAATACCAATATTCTGCCTGTGACTACTCACAGAGAAAGTGTGGTCACAACTGCACATTCCGCATGTAACTGTTCGCATGGAATTATAGTGGTCACAACTGCATTCTGTGACCGCTCATAGGGAATTATAGTTTCCACAACAAATCCTGCAGTACGAAGCACCCTGCGAGCAGTCACGAACTGTGTACTTTACACATGTACATGTATGGTGATTTGTGACTGGTCATGGGGCATTGTGACTGGTAAACTAATTTGTGACTGGTCATGGGGGGTTTGTGACTGTTTGACTGGTCACGGGGACCGTGATTGGTCACGGGGCCTTGACTGGTCACTGAGTCCTACATATATCTATGGGACTGTATATAGCTATGGGACTGTATATAGCTATAGGACTAGTACACCTACCTTGCCAGACAGGTGACGCAGTTTGGAACGAAGATGTTCAGAGAGCTCCTTTTCAGGTACTCCAAGTTTCATCTAAGCATGACACAGCCACACGAATATTTTCAATATTTTTGATGTTTTTGTTCTACACAAATAGCCTTTCGGTGTGAAGTACAGAGTAGTTGTACACGGATAGCCTCTCGGTTGGCTTTTGTTGTAGACGGCTGGCCTTTTAGTGTACAGGGGGGCACAAAGTTTATAACAAAGAATTAGTAACATTTGGTTCCCAGTGTGTCAACATGTCCCGCGGCACGTTACATCGAGCACTCTAGCAGAAACGGGGCCTACTTAGGCATGTCATGTTTTCAAAGAATATTCCAAAGTTGACGTGAACTTGATGCTGCTATGCTGGTACACTCAACCGGACTGAGTGCGTTCGCTTGCGCACTTTAATTGATTCAAGTGCATTCAAGTGGTTCGATTTTCATGTCATGAGCCCTGGAATCGATTCGGAATCCATTCACCCTATTCACATGCGGTGATGTGAATAGCGCAATTCTATTCACGAATCGATTCGCGGGCATAATCGAACGCACTCGCTGAAATCCACTTGCTAGTATACAATACTCAGGCTGCGTTTACACGATGATGCTGGGGATGAAAACGCAACCAAATCCTTTCGAATCCCTTGTTCGTTTACACTGTACGCGGAGCAAAACGAAAACGCTGTACACCAAAACGGAAGAAAACCAAAACGCTGCCCAAGGTGGAAGAATTTGAAAACGGAAATGTCATGCCGGATAAATTTGGACGTGTGAACAGTCGAAACTGTGTGCTGGGCCTGGAATCGTCACGTTTGTATCATGTTCGCTCGTCCACACGGATTGCGAAGGACCCGACAATGTTTGTCATGTGAGGAGTGCTGTCGTATGGAATGTTGTGGTTTGGAGGTTTTTAAACTATTACTTGACTGTGATTGGTGCTTTTACACCAACACTTGACACATGACGCACTTTGGCAGGTCCTGTGCTCCGGTGTAGACGTTCGAAAACGATTCATACGGAGACCAGCTCGGATCATGCTCTGATCGTGTAGAGGCACAAAAACGGAAAAAGAAACGCGGGATCGAAAACCGGAAACTGGCCATGCGTTGTGGAGTAAACGCAGCCTCAGTCTCAACAAATATTCAACATCAGAAATATTAAATTATTAATACACTTCCATGGACTTAAAGAACTACTTCCTCCGCGTGATCGAAATTGTCACAGTTTGACTATTGACTTGTCACTTGTTACTGACAACTCCATCAGCTAAACCATACAAACATTATTACACAGGATGATAGTCTGAAGTCTAGAGTAACAATCCAGGACAGTGTTACTGAGAATTTCACAAGGAGATAAAGGACTCGTCGTCGCTGATGTCAATGGACGAAAAAAATTAATATCGTTCCGCAAGTTTCCCAGGAAGGTTGTAAGTTGGTCACACCTCATCTCAAATGCTTTGACTTTCTCCACAGGACAAGAGCTGCTATGCTTGTCGTCTGCTAGCTCTGGATGACTTCTACTTCACCACCAACGCAGTAAAAATATACGATCGTTGCGAGGTCGGTTGACTACCGTGGGCGGAATCGCCTCGATCTTGAAATGAACTTGTTTTTAACCGTGGGATGCCCATTCACTATAGCCGTGGGGTCACTACTCCCATTCACTGTCGCCGTGGGGTCACTACTCCCATTCACTATCGCCGTGGGGTCACTACTCCCATTCACTATCGCCGTGGGGTCACTACTCCCATTCACTATCGCCGTGGGGTCACTACTCCCATTCACTATCGCCGTGGGGTCACTACTCCCATTCACTATCGCCGTGGGGTCGCCGTGGTGACTACTGATGCAAGAACAGTACTGTAAGTGTACTACTATCACGTCGAGCGCGCACTCTTTTTCAGCATCACTGGTCTACAGTACATGCACGTGCATCACTAGCACTACACAGTGTGACACGCAGAGTCTACACAGCCCTTGCAGGTACTGAGTGTCTCAGCATTCCTTGCATGCATGCAAGAGCGATAGATTTTATCGCTCTTGCATGCATTTGTTTCTCCAAGCGCTGCCGCTTGTTCCACGAAGTCATTCTCACTCCAGCTCAGGTAAAACAGTGATGAGGTTTGAGTGAATGGCTATAAGCGCGAGAAAAGTGCGGGCTGCAACGCCTGACTGATGTCAGCGAGTTGAAAGTACCATCGCAGCGACATCAGCGAAGAAATTGTGTCTATTTCAAAATTTTCAGCTTCCAACAACAGAAAATAGAACTTTGCCGTCGCCCTCTACTGATGACTATCGTCTATGTCCGATTCCTTACCTGTGGTACGACTGCTGGTGAGTATATACCCCGTTTTATATCAAAAGTCAAACTGCGACAATTTCGATGACGCGGAAGAAGCAAAGAGAATGTATGGCCACATTCTTCAAGGTAGCTTGCTGTTCCTTTACTGTTTACAGAAATCCAAGAGCATGGCTTGGCAAGCAATACTTCAACAATAGTTACTTCCATTACTGCAGTTGATTTACAATTATTCACATATTTGGCAATAAACGACATACCTGTTCCTCTTTAGCGATGGAGCTGTGACTCCTGTGTAGATAACATAGCCAAGAAAACAAGCACTATGAGATGAGGCGCAGAGGAAGCATTCGAATTAGGAAATCATGAAAATATTCTTACAGCCGTAAGCGCACACAAGCATTTCTCAACAGTGTAGGGATAGCGTATAACATGTAGGCGTCCTGAGCAGAGCTAGGAGTTACTGGGACACCTGTCAGCAGAGCTAGGAGTTACTGGGACAACTGTCAGCAGAGCTAGGAGTTACTGGGACAACTGTCAGCAGAGCTAGGAGTTACTGGGACAACTGTCAGCAGAGCTAGGAGTTACTGGGACAACTGTTACTGGGGCAACTGTTACTGGGACAACTGTTACTGGGACAACTGTTACTGGGGCAACTGTTACTGGGACAACTGTTACTGGGACAACTGTTACTGGGACAACAACTGATTGCAATGGAGTCTAATGATCAACAAAGTCTTTTTAAACCTTTTTTAAACCTTTTTTAAACCGGCTCAAAGAGTCAAAGTCAGAGTGCTCTAACTGCGATACACACACTCAAAGAGTCAAAGTCAGAGTGCTCTAACTGCGATACACACACTCAAAGAGTCAAAGTCAGAGTGCTCTAACTGCGATACACACACTCAAAGAGTCAAAGTCAGAGTGCTCTAACTGCGATACACACACTCAAAGAGTCAAAGTCAGAGTGCTCTAACTGCGATACACACGCTCAAAGAGTCAAAGTCAGAGTGCTCTAACTGCGATATACACACTCAAAGAGTCAAAGTCAGAGTGCTCTAACTGCGATACACACAGCGAGCTTTGCACAAGGGCAGGTAACTTTGACGCTTACCAAAAAGAGTGCTCAACCAGGCCAAGGCGAGGGAGCTTAGTACTCAATCTGCATACATAAAAGAAGACATTAAGAACTTCAGCAAATTCACTTGTAAAAAGCAGCTGTCTTACCAGTCCAGGGGTGTAGACCACGCGGTGAAAGTTCCTGATGAAATAACAGGACCATCAAATTCAGGATTCTCGCCATCCTCACTATCATCAGCGCTATCATAATTGCAAGATGCTGCACCTCCACTGGTGCCAGGTATCACTGTTTGTGTTGCTGTCGTGCTGTTGTAGCTACCTCTGTCTCTATTGGTGCCAGGTTTAGGTCTGCCCAGTCTACCGAGTCTGGTCGGTGCTGCTGCTGCTGCTGGTGCAGGCGCTCCTCCTCCCGCTGCTGCTGCTGCTGCTGCTGCTGGTGCAGGTGCTCCTCCTGCTGCTGCTGGTGCAGGCGTTCCTCCTCCTGCTGCTGCTTTTCTTGATTTAAGAACAACGTTGCTTGGAATAGGTATAACTAGTCCAGGGAGGTCAGCCATGGCTGAAGTGCCCTGAACATCTTGGTCACTACTCGGCTTAGCATTAGTAGTAGCAGTAGCAGTAGAAGCAGAAGATGCTGTGGCCACCGCTGAAGTAGAAGGAACATTGCTTGTACTACAAGTTACCGTAGGACTTGTGTACAGACATAACGTGTTGCTGCTGCTGTTGTTAAATATGCCTGTTGAATGCTGGCCATTAGTAGAACTGCCTTGGCTTTGTGACGCAAGTGATGCTTGGACTGATGATGCTTGTCCTGCTGCCAGCAGTGGCACTGTTCTTGCTGCTCGCTGTGCCCAAGTCAATTGTGACTGCATAGATTGCACAGTACACCCAGTCAGTGGTGATACTGACTTAGCAGTACCGGCCTGCGAAAACGAAGAGGAAAGTGTTGTATCGCAATGCACAGTGTGTGGTCGACTGCCATCATTACTTTTGGAAAGTGTGTCCATAGTTTCACTAGTGCTGCTTGGATTACTGTTGTTTTCAGTGCTGCTGCTGCTCGTGGTGCTCGTGATGCAACAGGTGGAACTAGTGATGCTGCTACTGCTGCTGGTGCTGCTACTGCTGCTGGTGCTGCTACTGCTGCTGGTCCTGCTTCTGCTATTGCTGCTTCTACTGCTATTGCTGGTGCTGTTGCTGCTGGTGCTGTGATCAGTGCTGCTCGAGCTGACGCTGGCGTTTGCAGTGGTGAAACTACTTCCGCTACCAGTGGTGTGGGCAGTAGCAATGGCACTGCTGTTTTTGATGCTGTTGCTCCCGCTACTACTGCCAACCCCATTTCTACCACTAATGTTGATGCTGATGCTACTGCAGCTGCTTCTCTCCACATTGATAACCTGCATTTGGTTATCTCCTTGGGGAGATTCCCTGTCGACATGGAGTGAATTGCTGCTGCCCCGGCCACCGAGGCCCTCAGCACTGCGGCCCCCGGCACTGAGGCCAGCACCGAGGATCATCTCATCATCAGTGCTGCTTGTTCTACTGATAACGTTAGTTGTGTTGGTAAACTGAGTAGCACAACTGGAATCTTTGCTGTTGGCATGTGTGTTTGCTGCCGCAATATCCACACTGCACATCTCAGTTGGTGCTTCACCAGTTGTTTCAGCAGCTGTTTCAAGAGTAGAGCTGGCTGTTGTTCCAGCAGCTGTTTCTCTATGAGATGATGGTGTTAATAATGCGGTGGCAGACGCTGCTGGATGGCCATTCTCCTCCTTCTCCACAGCTGTACTGCTATTACCTAGTATGCTGGTATTGTTTTTGACATGAAAGGGCTTTGCTGTTGCAGATAGATGTGATTGCGGCGTCTTTGTGGCTGATATTGAAGACAGCTGATCACCTGGTATCTGTTTCCGTTTCTGCATCTGCTGCTGTTGAGATTTGTTAAAATGGTGATGTGTAGTGTTCTGATCTTGATGTGGATAAGCGGAGGGGAATGGATGCCGTGCTGCCGCAGCACATTGGGCTGACTGAACTGAAAGAGGTGCTAGATTGGAAAGTGATGAGACATGACCACCGTGTGGCTGTGGCACTGCTGCAGCTGCTGTCGCGGGACCACCTGTGCAGATGCTGCTGCTACTGCTACTGCATGTAGTCATGCCTACAGCCAAAGGATATCCCGTTTTCACTGCAGGGTGCTGCGGATGAGGGTGCGGGAAGTGAGAAGGGGTTTCAAGCATCGATGGGTGAACCGGTCCAGCAGAAGGGGCTGCTGTAATTCCCCTAGCAGGTGTTCCATAGCATACAAGATTCCCTGGAGCATTGGATGGATCTGCTGCTGCCACTGGTGGAAATCTTGAATAGCCAAGTGTTGTTCCAGCAGTCAGATAAAATGATGGCATCTGAGCGATATACAATGAACTGACTTGTTGTTGCTGCTGCTGCATCTGCTGCTGCTGTTGAATTTGTTGCTGCTGGATCTGTTGTTGTTGAATTTGTTGCTGCTGAATACGCTGCTGCTGGAACTGTTGTTGACTTTTATGCTTTCTTTGCAGGTGCATGCGCCGTTGCCATTGTCGTTGTTGCTGCTGCTGCTGCCATCTGATTGACCTGCTGCTGTCGTTATAGAAGAAGGTAGGCTGACGCGAGTGCACTGGGAAGTCGACAATGTAGGAAGACTCTGGCATACGCTCCTCAACTTGGCAGTGAGATGTTGCTGCTCGAGAAGATTGGGGAGCGCTATCTACATCATTTCTGTCAACACGTTGCTGCTTTTTCTGTTCCTGCTGATCTTGTTTGTGCTGTTGCTGCTGTTGGTGCTGCTGTTGTTGTTGCTGTTGTTGCCGCTGTTGCTGCTGCTGATCTTTTTTCTGCTGTTGCTCCTCCTGCTCATCGTGTTGCTGCTGTTGATATTGTTCGTGCTGTAAAGCCTTACTAGTAGTGACCTTAGTAGTTGCAGAAGCACAGGCTGCTTTAGAAGTCTGTGGTTTCTTGATTTCACAATTACAGCACACATTGTCATTATCAGGCACACACATCCTAACTCCAATGTCAGTGCAGCCTGTTTCCGGGCAAGAAGAAGACCTAGTGCAAGAAAGTGCCCCAACATCGGTGTCAATCCCGCTGCTTCCATCACTTATGATGGCAGTGTCGCTGCTTGCTTTACTGCTGCTGCTGCTGATGCTGCTGTGGCTGCTGCTTGTGATGGGATTGCTTGTGATTGTGCCGGTGGTGGCGCAGCAACTCCTGCTGATCTGCTCTTCCAATCTGGCAGTTGGTGAAGGTATGGCTTGACCATGGGATATACACTCTACAGAAATAGTAGCATCATCAGCTGGGCATGGAGCATTGGGTGAATTTGCCCCATCCACTACGATGACTACGGCAGTATCCACCATAGCAGTGCTGCTGCTACTGCTGCTGCTACTGCTGCTGCTGCTGCTACTGCTGCTGCTACTGCTGTTTCTTCTGCTGCTGGTGCTAGCGTTGATGTTATTGGTGTTACTGGTAATACTGGTATATGTAACTGTCACCCTATCACTTGGGAATTGAATACCATGCGAAGCAATAGACAGTTGATTGACATGAATATCAAGCGGGGCAGTAGCCAGTTGGTGGACATCTTCACACTTTGAACCAGCTTGGTCACTGACATTTGCTGGTGTAACGGCTAATGCTGATGTCAATACTCCCTCCATTGCTGCTATTGACACTTGTCCAGGTGGTGGTACAGTTAGTGCTTCATATTCCGCTGCTGTTCTCGTGGATGCTGCTTGTGCAGGCATGGATTGACGTGGTGCTGCTGCTACTGGTGATTGAATGGCGATACACTCTTCAACTTAGTCCTCAATGCTGTCAATTCATAAATCACACAAGCACATGCACACACACATGCCCACACACACACACACACACACACACACACACACCATGTACCATGTATATACCATGTACACGCCCATCGCAAGAGAAGCACGCAAATCTGCAAACACACTGGATGTGCATCCACAGATTTTCTCTTACAACAACGATAGCGAACAAGATCTGAATGAGACAGATCGAGACTTGCGCCAGATAACTGTCTAATCCACACAACTGGCGAAGCCATGTGAATTGACCACCAATGCACACCCGGTCTACACCACACGGAGTACATCGGCATAAAACGGCCAAGACAGTTACCTATGCACACCCTACACTTGCTGGGGTAACCAGTATAGACAGCACGCTGCTTTGATAGAAGCAGACACTAGATGCACTGGTACCTTGAAGTAAAATTGGAGTTACTTTACCAACCATCCTCGGCTACTGAATACTGGGAACCCAGAGCCAACAGACATACAAACAACCTCAGCCATGAAAGCTATTATAGTAACGACACACTGGATTGTGGAGCCGAAACTAGTCCGACTTCCAAATGCTTTGGCAAGAAGGTAGCCTTCCGACAGGTTGGACACACACACACACACACACACACACACACACACACACACACACACCACACACATACACACGATTTTTGTGACTTGATAATAGACATACAGTCAACGTTGCGTATAACGACACTCGGCGGGGCATCAGAAAAGTGTCCTTATTCACGAAGTGTCCCTATACCCGAAGTCTCATTATATGTATTACAGTTAGATGGGACTTTGCTCTGGGCATGGAAATTCTGTCGTTATTCGCGAATTGTCGTTATATCCGCAGTCGTTATTAGCCAAGTTAACTGTAAACACAGTGTATGTAATGTGTGGTGGATAGTGTATGTAATGTGTGGTGGATAGTGTATGTAATGTGTGGTGGATAGTGTATGTAATGTGTGGTGGATAGTGTATGTAATGTGTGGTGGATAGTGTATGTAATGTGTGGTGGATAGTGTATGTAATGTGTGGTGGATAGTGTATGTAATGTGTGGTGGATAGTGTATGTAATGTGTGGTGGATAGTGTATATAATGTGTGGTGGATAGTGTATGTAATGTGTGGTGGATAGTGTATGTAATGTGTGGTGGATAGTGTATGTAATGTGTGGTGGATAGTGTATGTAATGTGTGGTGGATAGTGTATGTAATGTGTGGTGGATAGTGTATGTAATGTGTGGTGGATAGTGGATACTTCACAATACACGGCTGTCAAGTGTGGTGATGAGTTATGATACAGTAAAACCTGTGTTTTCCGGACTCTGTACCAAGCGGAATCCTGTATCGACCAGACAAATTGTCATGCACCGAAGTGCGGTGGATCAAACATGCATCCTTGGAACATGCATCCTTGGATCAAGTGCAATCCTGTCATATCAGGGCAGTTTCTGCTGCACCGAGGCCAGGGTGTCCGATTGGCCGGCAGGTTTGACTGTACTTCAGAATTCTGTGATGGATAAAAACTAGAAACTGTTCACATTATACAAGATAAAAACTCGGATGTTGAGCCAATAGTATTATGGAAAGAGAAAAGGACCTATAAGTTACTAGTCATAACTACAAAACAATTGTAGTAACTTATAGGTCCTTCTCTCTTTCCTTGTTTTTTGACAATCAGCTCATGCGATAACATTGCACAACACCGACCGACGGAGCTGACGTTCTACAACTAAGTGGCTATCAGCTCTAGCACGTCTTGGATGCGCACGCCAACAGCCTTCCAACTTGGAAGGTTCTACTTCGAAGTAAATTATAGTCCTAACATAAGTGGGGAAGGTAAGCACAACAAAGACAATGAAGGACGTTGGCGGATGTACATGCATATCCATGACGATACTGGCAAAACCATTGGACAATACGGTCAAGCCATGATTCAAGGACATTGGACAATACGGTCAAGCCATGATTCAAGACCATTGGACAATACGGTCAAGCCATGATTCAAGACCATTGGACAATACGGTCAAGCCATGATTCAAGGACATTGGACAATACGGTCAAGCCATGATTCAAGACCATTGGACAATACGGTCAAGCCATGATTCAAGACCATTGGTCAATACGGTCAAGCCATGATTCAAGACCATTGGACAATATGGTCAAGCCATGATTCAAGGACATTGGACAATACGGTCAAGCCATGATTCAAGGACATTGGACAATACGGTCAAGCCATGATTCAAGACCATTGGACAATACGGTCAAGCCATGATTCAAGACCATTGGACAATACGGTCAAGCCATGATTCAAGACCATTGGACAATACGGTCAAGCCATGATTCAAGACCATTGGACAATACGGTCAAGCCATGATTCAAGGACATTGGACAATACGGTCAAGCCATGATTCTATGACATTGGACAATACGGTCAAGCCATGATTCAAGACCATTGGACAATACGGTCAAGCCATGATTCAAGACCATTGGACAATACGGTCAAGCCATGATTCAAGACCATTGGACAATACGGTCAAGCCATGATTCAAGACCATTGGACAATACGGTCAAGCCATGATTCAAGACCATTGGACAATACGGTCAAGCCATGATTCAAGACCATTGGACAATACGGTCAAGCCATGATTCAAGGACATTGGACAATACGGTCAAGCCATGATTCAAGACCATTGGACAATACGGTCAAGCCATGATTCAAGACCATTGGACAATACGGTCAAGCCATGATTCAAGGACATTGGACAATACGGTCAAGCCATGATTCAAGACCATTGGACAATACGGTCAAGCCATGATTCAAGACCACTGGACAATACGGTCAAGCCATGATTCAAGACCATTGGACAATACGGTCAAGCCATGATTCAAGACCACTGGACAATACGGTCAAGCCATGATTCAAAGGACGCAAAGCAACATACTGTACTATACCAAATATCAACGAACATTCAATTCTAACATTCAATTCTAACATTCAATTCTAACGTTTCAACGAAATGAAAAAAATCATTAGTATTCGAAGTCGTTATGTGCAAAACGGTATGTACATGTACAGTCATTTGGCGGTTTTGACGGAGAGAATTCGTTTGCATTCAAGCCACGATTCAAGGAGGTTAAAACATCTGGCCCTACAGTATCACAGAACTTGTCTCGCCAGTATCGTCATCGACATGCATGTATATCCGCCAACGTCCCTCACAGCGGAGACTTTCAGCTTGTGCCTGTCTTGGTTGCGCTCGCCTTCCCCTCCTATGTTATCACTATAACTTTGAACTTCCAAGTTGGAAGACTGTTGGAGTGCCGCGCACCCAAGCGGTGCTAGAGCTGATAGCCAGTTAGTTGTAGATCGTCGGTAACGTCGGTCGGTGTCGCGCAATGCTATCGCACGAGCTGATTGTCAAGTAACTGGTGGTATTAGTGGACATTATATCATAACTTGTAGTTCCTTGGTCCTTTCCTTTTCTATAAATTTATCCTTGACTCTCCATCCGGGTCTACCCGTTGCAAATACAACATCTGTGTTCCAATTACAGGTTTCAAATGAGACCCGGCCTGCAGGCAGACACTTACCTCTCATTCCATCGCAGCTTTGATGACACTGAATCCTCCAGAGCATGTAGCTTCTTCAGGTACGTTCGTAGCACAAGTGACACCTCCTTCATTCAGCGCAAATATGTCAGAAGCATACAAATATGTCAGAAGCATACAAATAGCCACAACATTGATTCAATGTTTGCTAGTGATGCAACGAAGGGCGCTTTCTTCAAACAGATATTGTTTTGCACTGCCCTGCAAGTATCCTATATTCTCGTGAAACACTTGTACTTGCACAAGAATACATGTACTTCGTGTGGATTGACAACACTACCAAACACTGAGCGACACAGCAATTCAGGTGGCCATAGGGCTGGAAAGTGCTACGTCACAGCATAGCAACAATTTCAAAAATTCAAAAACTGGATTCACTTGGATCCAGTTTTTGTATGGATCCAAGCACATTTCAAGCGGTCTTACCCACAGCATGGTGATGTAGCCAGTGAAACTGACTGATTTGGCTAGTGGGGGCGGGGTTACAACTGGTGGCGAAATAAAAGTCACACATGCATGCGACATGAGTGGGTTGCTATGCACCCACATACTTAGGCAATAGCAAAGTCACACCTTAGTGGATCCAAAAATAGAAATCTGATGTCAACTTACTACTCCCTGGCCGTTTTGACGTCATCACTTTCAAGCCCTATTGTAGGCTTTTGTCTTCAAGATCTGTTCGGTACACATGTATAGTATGCACACATGTGCATTCTATACATGTCAATGTAAAAATGTAATGTATGTATGGCCACTTTGTGTTCGTGCTTTCCTCTCTCTTTGCTTTTACTGGCAAGGTCCATGTTTTTTTGTATTTTGGCTTCAAAGTATAATTTTCGTCTTAGGCTGTGATCGTTTCGTCGCATCTGGATCAAGATCCCGATCCAAGATCCACTGCAACCCTCAGAATCAACCAATCATGTTGGGAACACACTGCTACCGTGACCATGCTGAGGTAGAAAAATGACAATCGAAAAGTTACTCCAGGGTTTGTAACTCGTCGTACTCATCTGAATGGTGCAACACTTGTCCATGTGTGTGTTGGCTAAAAGCATATAACAATGATTTTTACCCGCTAAACACGTACAAAAGTCTTGTTTGGCAAAAATGAATCCGTTGGATCCGGTCAACCCTGCTCCCGGGGCAGGGTTACTCGGATCCAAATCCGAGGGATCTGGATCGGGATTCGACCAATCGATCACTGCAGATCCAGGGGATCCTATGGATCTGGATCTGGATCCGACCAAACGATCACGGCCTTAGAGTTGAGTTGAGTGTTCTTTACATCAAAATTTGAGTTTAAACTTTAAAGTCATTTCAATTATGGATAAATGGAGAAGGACAAAAATGGTACGAGTTATGACTAACTGTCCACCAACTTAACCAGGTCATTTACAGTCAGCGAGTGAACAAAAATGGCACAAAGCTGACGAGGGGTACTCAGACAATCAACGACCTCACACCTAGCTCCAATACTTCTTCGAGGCGCGAAACCAACAACCTTCCAACTTGGAAGGCCCAGGTTAGGAAAGGTCTAAGAGGGACGTAGTTTCTGCTCTTCTTAGCTGCGCTTTCCTTCCCCTCTTGGACCTTTCAATGACCTGAGCCTTCCAAATCAGAAGGCTGTTGGTTTGCGCCTCGGAGAAGTGTTGGAGCTAGGTGTCAGGTTGTTGAATGCCTCCGTACTCCTTATCCGTTTTGTGCCATTTTGTCCCATTCGCTGACTGTATAAGATCTGCTTACGTTGGTGGACAGGTAGTCATAACTCGTAACATTTTTGTCCTTCTCCTTTTTACCCATAATTAACTAGACTCACCATAGGCCATCCGAGTTCATTTTAAAGGGGAAGTCCGGTGAAAAATTTAAATTTCACAGTCCGTAGAGTTCGGGGCGCTGAGTCGAATGGTCTTTGTCCGAGGAGGCTGCGGCCTATGGTTCGTCAGATACGCCCAATCGAACATGTGCGGATTAGAGCGCGCCTCACCCAGATCCAGGTGATGACGTCACAGCGTGCAGCCAGGTGGCCACACCATCTAGATGTGTACAAAAGCGGCCATATTCGGAGCGCGTTCGATTGGGGAACCGTTTGTCGCAGCTTCTTCGGACCAAGACCATTCGATTCAGTGTTACAAACACTACGTACCCTGTGATTTTCAGCTCGGTAAACCTCGAGGTTATACCGTATTTTAGCCGTTTCCGAGTTGGACTTTTTCCGTCGACATGCACTGGCCTCTCTACCATGATCTACGGGTCTAGCAATGCGCTGCGTGTATGCTACCTGTAGTGTAGTCAACAAACTCATCACACACGGAACTACTCCCGCACTGCCATGCTGGGGTAGGTACAACAAGACTCGGAAAGCTAGTCAACACACGGACTTGTCATGTACTACACTCGTATCAGTCCGTGACAGTCGTGTAGTCAGAGAACGAGCGTTTCTCCTTGCCGGTGGTGGTTGTGCTTTGAGAAAGAAAATTTTAGTTTTCCGCTCCCGCCTCATTATTTTATGCTACAGCGATGAGTGCACAACCGTGACAAGTGACAAAACAGCGAACAGCTCCCGGACCTAGAACTTTCAGATCCCGTAGCGTTGCGAGCGAAGAGTCGTGCCTGTAGTTCAAAGAGCCTGCACTGTTCTCCAATTGAGTGTCCGAAATACGCCAAGTTCGCACCAAAACATCACCATGTGGCAGGTTACTGGAGTCTTAAGCGAATCGGTATGGAACAACATTAAATTTTAGTCTTAGAGCACTCGCATCACTCTTCTCCATTTTGGCGACTCTGCTCTCCAGCGAGCTGATAATTATATCAAGATCGTCTGCAATAGCTGCTGCTTCTTCATCAGTCGGAAACTCAGTAGCGCTCACTCTTGACCGGCCCGCGCGGCCATTTCTTCAGCTGAATACCGAGGTTCTCAGCCCCAGACCGAACTCATGAAGGTCAGCCATGGCTGCATCCTCACTCTCACAAGGAGTTACGTCTTCGGAGTCGCTTGCACCACCTACTATGGGTCGCCAAATCATTTGAAATAGCACTGACACTATTGCTTTCACGCACTCCTTTTGACCTAGCTGCACGCTATGACGTTGCGGAGGGTGTGGCGCGGCCGCATGACGTCATGGCGCAGCCCCCGAAACTCAGTTTTTCAAACGGAAATATCTCGAGAACGCTTTGTCGGGGACATGTGGGACCAACACCATTCGACTCAGCGGCCGAAACTCTACCAACCCTGAAATTTAAATTTTTCACCGGACTTCCCCTTTAATTATTATCAATTAGGGATGGTCCACAAATATCAATGTTTTTTTTAATTTTAGAATTGCGATCAACAGAACGAGCTGAACCGACATTTCACAAAGGCTTTTATTGTATTCAAAAAACGAGTGGATACGAAGGCAGTGAACGCGTTTCTGAACACCACAGGGACAGACACCAGTGTTCAGTAATGTCGCGTATAACGTTTCGTTTCTGACACGGTGTCTGAACACTAGTGTCTGAACACTAGTGTCTGTCCCTGTGGTGTTCAGAAACGCGTTCACTGCCTTCGTATCCACTCGGTTTTTTTTAACCCCTTGAGCGCGGGGCTGTTTGTCAGTGCACCACGTAAGAAAATGGTCTTTTTTGAAAATATTCAAACCTTGGCTATGTCAAGTTGTGAAATCTTTGGGAGCCACAACCACAGGCAGTGGTAGGTAGGACCCAGACCAGCACTCGACAACAAGAACAAAAGCGAAAATCGGCCAAGGCCACGGCTGTTTTTTTGTGCGATTTCACGCCACTTAACAATATGGCCGCCGAAAGTCTCGATTGGGCTTCAATGGCAAGAAAATTTGAATTTTCAAATCGTCAGAACACGAGTAGGCCATGGTTTCCACTGGATTTTGGAGACTAGTCAGCCCGGACAGCCCGGGGAACACGCTGATCATCTGCGTCTTGTTTCAAGCTTTCCGCTCGTACCTCACATGACTGCCTTTCCTTCAAGAAACATTTGTTCTGTGTCGTGCGACTTTGGCTTCGTTCTGGAATACTCCTTGTGTCGTCGCTGACAAACTCGGCTCCGAGAAGCCCTTCCCGATTTTTTCCCAGCTTAGATCGATTTTTTCCCAGGTAGAGGACTATCCTCTGGTTGTCTTCCCCAAGTGTCATTAGAATACGCGCGTGAACTTCTAAATACGCGCGACGAGTCAGGAGCCTGTTTTCTCTTGATTTGGAAGACAAAATAGTGTGGCCCTTTAGTTGCTGTTGAGTGTAGAAGGCTGCTTCCTGCTGTAAATTGTTTAGTCGGCATGTGGGATATTGTAGAAGAAGACAGCAGCCGGCCAAGTGAGCTTGAAATTGTGATATCTACCCTATTGTGCGTTGAACGATTACGAAATGTCTAACTTGAATGTTGTACACACGAGCACGCCAAGCAGAGGCTGACAATCACTGGCGAGATCAATCTCCAGACTGCCAGGAGTACTTCGAGCAAGTTTGAAGCGGAAAAACAGCTAACTGGGCAGGCCAGGACGCCTTTCCACCCTCTTTCTCTCTCAAATTGCCGAAAAGTCGAGTATCTCGCTCGAGCGCTTTCAAAACTTTTCTCTTGGTTTCGCGTCCCAAATCGTGGAACCACGCGAGGATCGACATGAGTTTCTTGCAAAAACGCAAACTCATCGCGTATTTGTACTATTCGCACAATATTACATAAATCGCACCGAACGACGCCATATTGATAAGTGCCTACACGTGAACAGCCGTGAGGCACGCCAGGCCGAGCGGCATACTCAGGTCGATTTTTGAGAAATTGCACCAATTGCTTGGTATGCGCGCGTAAAAAAGAGAAAAAAAAGAGCTGTGCTGATCGCTGTACATCGACAGCTGGGAACTGAACCCGGGACCCCTCGTACACAAGGCATAGACACTACCAATCGGCTAACAGACCTGAAGACTGAAGATACGGGCCATTAGTTTGTATATAAGCGCATGACGTACTAGTACGTCATCCGTGGGGCACTGTGTGGGTGTTATGACGTACTAGTACGTCATCCGCGCTCAAGGGGTTAAGATAATCGTTCGTGGGGGGGGGGGGGGGGGGGGAGGGGGTTTGGGCCCCGTTCGTGTCGTCAATGTAAACCTAGAAGTGTACGGTGAATTTAGAGTTGCAGTCGGTCACGTTCCATGAGGATATTGCACTTCATTAAAAAAATATCGATCCTCTGCATAAACGTGTGTATGTTCGTTTTGAGAGGGGGGGGGGGGGGGGAGAGAGGAGTCTGGGGAGAAATGAACAAATAAATTATCGACTTGAAAAAATATCGACATTTACGGATGGCCCTTAGTATTCTTAAACTTACATTCAAATCAGCACTTGTTCCTTCTCTTTGACACCATGCTAGCAATCTCCTCAACTGCTCAGTAGCGCTCGACAGAAGGGCTGTTTTGTCGGACATTTTTCTTGATGGGTGTATTATTGCTCTCTCGCTGCTCGCTACCTCAGCGCTAATGTTACCCGCTACGTTACCGCTCCTTTTGCTTCTGTTACATGTTGTGCACACACAGCTTACTGGGGGAACCGATCTGTTCTGAGGATTGGCGTTGCTATTCTCCAAGCTCACACGGGCCGGCAGTCGCTGCGCACAGCACGACAGGTCTGGTCGAATTAATTACAAAGCCTATGTAAGTTGTAACAATAACTAACATGCCAGATTTCTAACAGAGGCCTCAACAACCATCATACTCGCTCCCAGAGGTACGGGGACAGGACCTCTACCTCTCGACTGTCTCTACTAACTCTAGCTCAACTACCATGAGTACGTAACGACCTCTCGACTGTCTCTACTAACTCTAGCTCAACTACCATGAGTACGTAACCAGTTACCTTCTAAGTACTTCTTTGACTCTTTGACTGTTTGACGTCCTGATCCTTTGTCTTTGAACAATAATAACATTAAAATTTACTTTTTTTGAAGTCCTGTCTCAGATTCTGTTTACTAGTACTACACTCTACGGTATAGAGACTACAGACAGCACTCAGGTACTAGTACTACTGTACTACTGACAGTACTGTACTACCACTACTACTACATGTAGTACTACCGGTAGTACTACATGTAGTACTAGTACTAGTACTACTTCACTGCCGGCGCGGTGTCGCGTGACTCGTCATGACATGAGCGCTATCGCGCGGCCGCGCGCTCGAGCTGCAGCAACACTACACACTACACTACACTCTACAGTCTGAAACAGACAGTGTACATGTACATGTACATGTACAATCATACATCTTTACTTATAAAAGAGAGGCACCTGTGACGTGTGTCTGTGTGTGTGTGTGTGTCACGCTCCTTATAAAGAAGAGGCACCTGTGACGTGTGTTTTTGTGTCACGCTGAAGCGCTGCGGAGCAGCGCTGCCCTGAGCACGCGAAGCGTGCGAACAGTGTAGCACAGTGTAGCTAGCGGCCGCAGAAGCACTGAGCACGCGAAGCGTGCGAATCGTGTAGCTAGCGGAAGCAGCCAGAGCACGCGAAGCGTTCGAATCGTGTAGCCACCACCACGTGCTGAGCACGCGAAGCGTGCGAACAGTGTAGGTACGGTGGTAGCGCTTATACTTATACATAGCAGACACGATCAGTACGAGTAGTAGTAGCAGCCGCGCGCAGAAGCACTGAGCACGCGAAGCGCGAGCGTGCGAATCATGTAGCCACCTAGCCTAGGCCATAGTAGCACTACTAGTACTACTACTACATTGTAGCAGCCGCACAAGCGCTGCGGACCACGTGAACCGTTCTCTGCAAATAGAAACATCTGCAACAAAAGGATACAAAAGATCTGCACTGACTGCACTCTGCATCTGATCTGCGGTGAAGAGCGCGCATCGCACTTTTGTTCGTAAGTTTATGAATTTTTTGAGCCGCTTCATCCGCCACCATGTACCAGGTGATGGACAACCCTGACCAGCCTCCCGAAGGCGTAACAGACGTCCCTCCTTCTCCTTCCAACGATGAAAAACCTCCCTCACCAGGACTTCAGCGGTCTGGCCACCACCACGTGCTGAGCACGTGTGCTGTTCATGTACTTGCTTCACCCGCATGCCACATTCGGCCAGGCAACGCTGGCGGGGGTGCTGCTAGTGTAATTATAAGATCATCTTGCGAATCTTCTTGCCTACGTGCTTGGCATGGCACAGCATTGTTGACAGCCAGACATACTACTAGAGTGACGAAGAAGACTGGGACGAACTTCATCTTGACGAATGGGATAAGGAGGAGAAAAACTTGTGCAATAAAATACTCGCTACGATTGAATACGGAAAGCTCAGGTCGTCGTGGGTTCCGAACCGCTGTTGGGCGCCAAATGTTAGGTCCCGGTTTCGCTCAGTCAGCAGAGCACGAGGGTACAGTAATGGTTAATGGTTATCATACGGAATTGCACACTTATTCAGAGAGAGAGAGAGAAAGAGTTCTCAGGTAATACACTGTAGTCTAGCATGAAACTAATCCCGTACTAGTCCGTAGGAAACTAGAAAGGCAGCAGCTTTTATAGCGAAGGTAGAGAACCAAGGTTGGTGGTAAGACAAGGATTACGAAATCATCCTTCTACAAGTTCTAGAATAGTGGAGAAGGCAAACCTAGATCATCATTGCTATACATGTAGATGAAGTGAGCATTGCGCAACAATGACTAAGCGAGGTGTTCTAGAAGGTGAGATATGCAATTTAGTCAGCAGCATTAGTCATCAAGCATATGACTTGGAAGGTATGGAACAGTCCGGAATCAACGACGTGATTGACTAACTAAAAGGAAGTGGTAGAAGTACTAGTTCTAGAAGTGCTGACAACAAGGTTACAAGCATGGGAGATCTAATTATAGCTTATGACGAGGCTTACATTTACGTGCATGTACTACAGTACAGTAGTCGCAATCAAGTCATGTACATGTCATAATAATGTATGCATTTCTACCCTAACAAGGCCAAACTAAAGAAGGTGTGTGGTTCGACTAACATGGACATTTTTTTTACGGGCGGGCGGGCGGATTTTTTTTTTTAAATATATTTTTTAGTAGAATGAAATTGAAGACACCACTGCAGCTGTACTTATGGTTGATAAATATGGTGGTAAAGACACACCTGGCAATATGGTGGTAAACACACGCCTTCCCACACACGCTCTCTAGGCTGCAACGTTCTGGCACAGCGGGGACGAAACGTACGTCGCAATCGAGCTATGTCGTTGCTGTGTCATCATCTATGTGCCATGCGCTACTTGATGTACCAGCCTGCTATGCCGGATACCGCCAGCCATGCATCGACCAGGCGCCAGGCGCGAACTGATGGTGGTGGTGGTGAGAAGGAGAGCTCTGTGCCAGAACGTTGCAGCCTAGAGAGCGTGTGTGGGAAGGCGTGTGTTTACCACCATATTGCCAGGTGTGTCTTTACCACCATATTTATCAACTATTTTTTAGTACATGTAAATACACTGTACTGCCTTTAGACACCCAGTACATCGGCATTATTACGCAGTGTTATGCCATACATGTTGTATAAAGGGATCACTGGCTAATACTTTGAAACATTGTGTAGCTCTGGAACGAGAAGAGAATAACTTCAAGCGGTGACTCTGACTGTCCAAATCATCAAGCAAATGAAGAACGATGCGAGTTGAAAGTAAGTTCGGGAACTACTTCGAAGTACAAATTGTACAATGTACCGGTACATGTATTGCTAGTTTGGTGTCGGCGTGCACGAATACATGGGCTTTTTCCATCGACGCTTCCTGTGCTTGCACACATGGAGCAGCAACTAACTTACCGGTACAGGTGAAATATCGTTCCCAATACACGAGGAAAGTGCAATCTCGTCTGTCCTTCATCCCAAAACAGAAGGCCGTCCTTAATCTGGAACGAGGCAATCACTCTCAACCGGACGGTCACTTCAAATAATAAGTCTCGCCAGTCTGCCGGTGCCGGTGGTCGTATCGAGTAGACTCTACTACCATGACTACCAGCACAAGGCAGCAGTCGTCGCGTACCACTCACTGCACTGCACTGCACTGCAGTACAACTACAAGTCAAGTCCAAAAGGAGCCGCCTAGCGCCTGCGTCCGCAGACTCACGCTGCACAGCACGTAGACGTGGACGTACGTAGACCTACGTGTTCAGTCCACGTACGTAGGTCTACGTCAGTCACACGACAGCCCGCCGAAAAAAAGTTACGGTCGGGCTGAAAAATGTACGGTCGGTCGGGTGAGTCGAACCACACTGTCCACAGACCTTCTTCAGTGTGGCCTAATAATGTACATGATGATTGTACACTGTTTGTTTCAGACTGTTATCATGGTTATTATAATATATATTATGCATGATGTAGTACTCAGCCCGCCCGGCCGGCCTCAGCCGCTGTACTGCTGTGCACATGTGACCAGGTGACTGTCTGTTTCAGACTGTAGTGCGTAGTTGCTGCACCTCGAGCGCGCGGCCACGCGATAGCATGACGAGTCACGCGACACCGGCTTGAGTCATGTACAAGTCAAGAGTAGATTTACGTCATAACCCCCTGCCCCTATATTGCTATAATTTATTATATTAAATACCCAGCGCGCTAGTCGCATCGGATCAACATGTCGCCTGCACGCAGCGTTCTGTACGCGCTGAGGGCGCCGGCCCCGGTCAATCGACCGGATTCCCATGTCCACGACTAGTACATGACTGTACTAGTACTAGTAGTATACTTCATGATTCTACTGTACTGTACATGTACGGGGTGAATTGCTATATCTGGACATTGTACATTTCTGGAAATTTCGCGTATAATAATTTTTCGTCGCGTGTAGAGTCAAGTCAGTCAGGTTGATGAAGTTTTTTCTTGTTGTAGTTGACAGCTGGGCTGTTGTAGTTTCTCCTCGTGTCGGTGCCTTGTTGATAGCCTTTTCTTGGGAGGCATTTCAACGAGTTTTGTGGTACTATGTCGCATGAGAATTTTGAATTTTGAGTAAAATAAGAAGTAATGGACGAATCGTTGGCTTCCCCATGTGCACTCCACTTCAGACGCTGTATAGTCTTGGACCTGTTGGCTGGAAGTGTGAAGAGGCCAACTGCAGTCCACCAATAGAAAAAATAACAAAAATGGTACAGTATAGGATGCCTATTGACGCTATTTTACTTTCATGTCCAGAATTCCATACACTGAAATTTAGGCCAAAAAATTGCCCTGTCGAAAACATCCTGCTATAAAGTCTCTGGGATCACAGCATGAGCAATTGTCACATATTTGGAAAGATGAAGGATTAGGCCATACAATAGATACAAAAAGATATGAAAAATGTAAAACACACAGCCAGTGGGCCTCTATTTTATTTTCATGTCCAGAAATTGCTATTCACCTCGTACAGTGCTGGCAACTGAAATCCGACCCCCTCAGCGGTGGGTTCAAATTCTAGCTGTCTCTGTTTCGTAGTTTTACCATCCCGTGTTGGGTCTTTGCGATGTAACTTGTAAGCGCACCGCTCAGGGGGTCGGATTTCAGTTGCCAGCATGCTAGCACTGTACATGTACATGTACATGTACTACAAGTACAAGTACTACAAGTACAAGTACTCGGTCCGCCGTGCTGCCTTCCATTACAGTATCATCATTATTTTTATGCATTATTCCCGTAGCTATGCAGAAGACGTTGTAGTAGTATGTATGTATGTATGTATATTTTTATTTGAATTCGCAAGTACACACGGGCTACAAGCCCAATTACATGGAAGCGAATGCCATAATGAGGCCAATTAAGAAAAAAATAGGTGGAGGAAGGAGGAGGACGGTAGCAAAGCGCAGGGAGGACAACTCAGGACCAAAATCAACAATTGCACAAATGTGAGAGCACCTGAGACCGAGGGTGCCTGTGGAGCGATAAAATGCCAAGCAAACAGAAGAAAGGAAATCA